CATTACGTCATTTCTATTTGCGTTTGCCCAGCTGCCTTGACTTTGGCTTCGGTATTTCAATATAAAGCCAACATAATCGTCTCCAATAATTTTCTGCAAATTGTATGAATCGTGCATATGATGGTGTGGCAATTTCAGATTCAGTTTCTGGGCCATTCAGATTCATCTACCAGACAATGATTTTTTTCATAGAATTCTATCAACTCCTGCCACATGGGATGGACCCTCAGTAGGTTCTTGTTACCTGAGGGGATAAAGAGAACAAGTTTAATGGAAATGTAGTTAGTACTGCTGAGTAAGGATAAATAAAAAAAACGCCTTAGCAAATTTGCGCTAAAATCTTCTCTCATGTCAAGAGATGTACATATTAAAAAAAGGTATGCTTCGGAACAGATGGTCCATACCGCCTTAGCTTAGCCTAGTTACCAGGAGTAGTTCTAGCCCGTCCTTGATGGGATTCTAAGCCATTGAGGATTCATCCCCAGCATTGATTCGCCGGTGCTGATTTGCACACCCGTTGTTGGGAAGACGCACTGTGAGGGTAAAGTTCAGTGCCAAAGAACACAATGCAATGACCCCGCCCTGGGCTCGAATCCGGACCGCTCGATGCAGAGGCAAGCGCTAATTGTTAGGATACCACGTTTCCGACTTCCAAAGTCAAAGACTCGACTAATAGTACTCTAATGCAGACCACATGCTAGTTCAATAACATTAACACGTTTATGATGGATGGAAATAATATTTTAGTTTCAATTAGCTGTTCTATTTCAGGAAACTGCTATCAATTTAACAAAGAAAAGCAGTTTTGCAAATTGCAACAGCTGCAATCTTTTCCTTATTGAAAGGGGCCAGAGTACAGCAGACAAATATAGCTTGCAAGTGTCCCTGATACTCGCACGCTATCTCAACTCTGGCGTACACTTTTGATTAGGAGAAAAACGAAGGAAAGGAAAGGAAATCAAAAAGAAAAATTTACAAATAATAAAGCATCTTATGATCCTACATACCGATTATACAGAGTCCTTTTCGAGCTCGAGTAAGCCCCACATTCATTTGATGTTCATCCGTTAAGAAACCCAAATGCTCCCGGAGCCAGTAAAGTGAAGGCTCAGCGTCGATTTCGTCCTTACCCAGGGAGCGCACCAAAGATAAGATGACGTAATCCCATTCACTTCCTGAGAATGAATTTTTGAAAGGTATGTGAATTGCACAAATCGCGCCACCGAGAACGCTATCATGTGAAAAGGAGATAGCGTTGCAGAAACCACAACAATAACAACTGCTACAACAACAACAAAAATAGCAACAACAAAAGCAATTAGAACAACAGCAACGACCAAAACAACAATAAACAACAAAAAGGTGAAACGAGGAAATTTTTGATATAGATTGGAAACCGCGACATACATTGAATAGGTGATTTGCTGCATGCTGTGCTACTTTAAATTTCCAGTCAAGTGGAAGCATTAATTAGGATATCTGCGATATTGCAATTAAGAGTTCATGTTAGGGACTGGTCAAAAAGTACAGGGGCGGGGGGAGGGGTGGGTCGGAGCATTTGAAAATGAGGTGGTTAGAAAACACATGGCCCACCCCTTCCATTTGGCACAAAACTGAGTGACTGAGTACCCCATCCCTAAGTAAAGGTTGAAAATCAGGTGACCCACCTCTATAAAACATGACATTTTTGGTGCATAATCCAACAAAATCGCATTTTGTGAATGAAATTGTGATCATATTTACGTTTTAGATTTATTTCTTAACAATAAAACAAAATCATCTAAAAATAACATTGTTTCCCTTTACTCTTGCAACTTTAAGTCATGTCTGCAAACTCTAAGAAAACTTGACCGTAAATCTTTCACACTAGGCCTCCAGCCTCGCCACGCGTGGAACAGTGATTTATCTAGAAAAAGTCTGTAGTGCTTTGGAACTGGAAGGAGTTACCTCTGTTGTCGATTGTGTCAATTGCGTGCCAAATCCTGTTAAAAAACAGAATGACCCACCCCCATGGGCAGCTGAAAATTGAACGATGCACCCCTTTCTGCTCCCCCACCACGCAATACCTTTTGACCAGTCCCTTATAACGAAATACAAAGAAACCATAAACAAGTGAATTTAATTTTACCCTGGCTTTTTACGATGGTTGTGACTGGGATATCTTTACACCTATAGACGTTTTTTAAAGACTCGTTGATCTTGCTTCGCTGTTCTCTGTACGGTGACAAGATCACGACTTTTGACGCATCCACGTTGTGTTTGTAGACTAAGGATGTCGCCACATGCATCTGACAAAGAATAAGTTAGTATTATTCATTAATATTGGTATACTCGTAAAGGTATTCTTGGTATACTAGCTTCACAATGGGTATAGATGATCTCGTGTACTATTGATCCCAGAAGTCTGTTGAAATGGATTTTTTCCAGGCCGTTACACGCTCAGTTGGTTTCATTCACGGATTCAAAGAAAATGATCAAGTGATGACGACTATCATGATCGTGTGATGAGTGAGTTTCCTGCCGTCGGGAAAGATGCTCCACAATTTGTTTACAAGTTTAATTTTTTGAGTTTCGCACTTTGTAGCAAGATAAAGTTTAAGATATGTTACAGAGAGGGTTCGACAGATGCAAAAGCCATCGCATGGATAAGATGGTTATGTTGGGAGAACACTCGAAAAGCTTGTAAATCACTCGCCTAAGGGCTCATGATTTACAAGCTTTTCGAGTGTTCGCCCAACATCCCGTGTGGGTTTATTGCGCCGTTAAACCTGTAGAAAGAGTGGTCTACTGCTTTAATAAACCGCAACAGTTAGGCTGTTATAAGTTAAAAAATGATCGGTTAANCTCAGACAAACACCTCAGGTGTTGAAGAAATCAGGGATCAAAAAAGGAGACGCAATGAATAACCCGGCATTCATCGTCAGAATCGTCCATGTTTGTGTTGAAAAACAGAGTGCTGAAAAGCGACGTGGCGCAATTGGCGGGAAAGAAGAGGATCCTCTACTCATTGTGGTCAGTTGAATGAATACCCAACGCTCCCTACCCCTCTGCTACCGACTCCCCTATCCCCAATAATATCTTTTTATATTTCAAGCTGATACCAGTTTATTTTTGTTTATTTCAGTTTTAAATATTTAATTTTACATATTTTTCGCATAATTATGATAATTATTCGATGTTCCGGGATGTTCCGGAATGTTCCATGTTGCTGGTTTTATCGACGGCCCATTCAAAATACCTTGCTTTTTCTTTCTTTCTGAGTTTCCGGCCTCTTTTCTGGGAAACTTAGTGCTCCTTGGCCTAATTGGTTAACTTGTCTCAACATATCATTTACCTAACAACCTGTTAGGGGTAAATTCCGACAAGCGACATGGCCTTGAAACAGCGACACGAGAGCCACGAACTGCCGACGAACGACAGACTACTCCAACGAAATAGGGAAAGCGACACCAATGTCAAAACAGACCGACAGGGAGTTTCGGATTTGTGAAAGCAGTGAATGTTTTAAACAATAACGACCAGTACTACCACTCTTTTTTAAGTTGTACAAATACCCAATCCTTGATACGCATGTGAACATTAACTGCACTTGTATTAAGATTATTTCAGTCTACATGATTCAATACATGCGGCAAATGCGCTCATAGCATTCCCATAGCAGCCTTCACCATGTCACATGGTTGAAAATTATTATAATTTTTATTATTGTTAAACACACGTGTTGACAGTCACGCAAACATGAACAGAGATTGAACGGTCGTCTGCTCACTGAAGGCCGCAAAACCCGAACAAAGAGTGAGTCGGCTCCGAAGAAGAACAACAAGTTGGCAAATTCGCATGCGCACACTCTTGGATACCCCATCCAAATCCCTTGATAGTTCATACCGACGAGGGAATAGATTTTCCGCTAATTTTCAAACGTGGGAAACTTCGATTTAATTTGCTATGTTCTATTTAACCTATTCAAGATATCTATTAGCAGATTTGCACGTTGTCGTCATTTGACTACAACTACCAGAATTCCTTTCGTTATTTCTTTATTACTTAAATTTTGAATTCCCAGTGGGGTTTGAAAAACAATTGCCCTGATTAACATAAGAAACAGAAAAGGTGAAGGACTCTGGTAGTTGTAGTCAAGTGTTATTTGTGTTTATATTTGCTTCCTTCATGTTATTTTCAAAATTAACAAATTATATGTGTTACATATATTGTTTCACTTGTGCTGAACTATTGAGATGCATTCAAACAGAATGAAAACCTAGGTAGAAAATTTATTTAAGTTGCTCAATGCTTTCTGTCTCATATTAATGACAAATAAATTGCAAATTAGGAATAAATATCCTCCCCCATATGTACCACCCTATAGGGGGACTCATGCTGACGTAATTGTTTACATTTTCGCTCATTTTGCATACGGCTTTGCGTACAGAAGGAAACATGAAAACATTAATAAAGATATGAATTGACTCTAGGCAGCTAAAGAGCTAGCGAAACTTAATACACATTTTTAGCTCTTTGGGTGTAATATCCAAGGAGATATTGTCTTTCAAAACCTGCAAAATTTCTGGGTGGCAAAAGCGCTAACGAGCTCATACACTCTTTGTAAAATTTTGAGTTTTTAAACCCTTGTTGCACAAAAAGTATTCAATACGTCAGGCTCAAATTCATTGGCAGAGTTAATCGCAATATAGCCTTTCAATATTTAAAACTGATTTCTTTGTAGCTCCATCAGAAACTGAATTGCTTATGCTAATAAGGCAAAAATTGTAAACAAGGACTCCCCTATACTAGCTGCACATATGCCCTCAACTCATATAATGGAATTTTTTGTAGAAAATTGAAAAGGACTAAACTTAAAACTAATTGGTANCATATAATGGGATTTTTTGTAGAAAATTGAAAAGGAGTAAAATTAAAACTAATTGGTAAAATGCAAAATATATACGGCGTGAAAATTGTAAGGCCATTGCCATTGCAAATGCTCACTACTTTTTCTTGTCTAATTAAGAACCTTCAAAATAAAAACTATTTACAGAACGTTTCAATTCCTGGTTTGTGTAAAAAAGAACCTGTTCTTTTCTAACCATGCACCTGACCAAAAATTAAACCTCAAAGGCTCATTCAAGTCAAGGTTAGTTTTCGGCCAAATCGCGTAATTCCAGCAGATTCTAGATCTCGGCATTCTAAGACTATTACCTGATTAAAAATAAAATGATCTATCCCAGATCTTTCGAGTCGACTCGGTCTGCAAGCTCAGCATAGTGTAAGAGAAGGCATACAAACTAAGAGAAGGCGTCATCGATTTTGTTGAATATCTAAATTTTACGAGTAGCAGTGAATGATTTAGTGCGTTATTTCTGTTTGCATTTGCCCACCTGCGTTGACTTTATCTTCGGCATTTCTATATAATGCCATAATCACTTTAACAGACAGAACCACCTTGACTAATTTTATGGAAATTGTATAGATCATGCGTATGGTGATCTGGCAATTTCAGTTTCAGTTTCTGGGCCATTCAGATTCATCTACCAGACAATGATTTTCTTCATAGAAGTTTAGCAACTTCTTCCACATAGGATGATGCTGCAGTAGGTTCTTGTTACCTGGAGAGATACAGAGGGAAAGTTTAATGGAAATTGACTTAGCATTACTGGGTAAAAATAAATAACAAAAACACCCCAGCGAATGTGCTTTATTCAACAAACAAAGAAGCCTAAGCCGTGTATTACCCTGTGAGAAAACACGACGGGCATTTGAGAACACGAGGGAAATGTAGAAAACACGAGCCGTAGGCGACTGTTTTCTACATCTCTCGATTGTTCTCAAATGTCCGGAGTGTAATGCACGGCCTAAGCTTCTTCATTTGCTTTATGATATAGAAGTAATGTGGCGAAAAACAATAAAACGCGCTTTTTCTATGTTTTATACTCTGATAAAACATGGGTTTTCGACCAATCAGAGCGCGCGCAAGGTCCTATCTATATTATATTAGTATAAATCTACTAGCATTCAATCACGAATGCCGTTCTTCTGATTGGCTACGCGGCTCACTATCTATTCTGTGATGGATAGTGAATAGCGCAGCAGTTTGCCCTTGTTAACAAAATGACGGTCGCTTCTAGACGTTTTCTAAGTGTCTGTGAAGAGGATTTAGATTACGTTTTGAACGACTAGTAGTATACTAAAATTTATACTAAGATTTATACTCTCGATTTCTATCGCGCGATAGTTGACTAGGGCTGCGCGCTCGTCAACTATCACGCGTTATAGTTCACCACCAAATTTTCTTCGATTCTTATTGGTTTAAACTGATCACGTGACGCGATAGTGTTCATCCGTGGAGAGACACTATCAGCCCAAAGTGCCCGTNGGTTCTTGTTACCTGAGGGGATAAAGAGAACAAGTTTAATGGAAATGTAGTTAGTACTGCTGAGTAAGGATAAATAAAAAAAACGCCTTAGCAAATTTGCGCTAAAATCTTCTCTCATGTCAAGAGATGTACATATTAAAAAAAGGTATGCTTCGGAACAGATGGTCCATACCGCCTTAGCTTAGCCTAGTTACCAGGAGTAGTTCTAGCCCGTCCTTGATGGGATTCTAAGCCATTGAGGATTCATCCCCAGCATTGATTCGCCGGTGCTGATTTGCACACCCGTTGTTGGGAAGACGCACTGTGAGGGTAAAGTTCAGTGCCAAAGAACACAATGCAATGACCCCGCCCTGGGCTCGAATCCGGACCGCTCGATGCAGAGGCAAGCGCTAATTGTTAGGATACCACGTTTCCGACTTCCAAAGTCAAAGACTCGACTAATAGTACTCTAATGCAGACCACATGCTAGTTCAATAACATTAACACGTTTATGATGGATGGAAATAATATTTTAGTTTCAATTAGCTGTTCTATTTCAGGAAACTGCTATCAATTTAACAAAGAAAAGCAGTTTTGCAAATTGCAACAGCTGCAATCTTTTCCTTATTGAAAGGGGCCAGAGTACAGCAGACAAATATAGCTTGCAAGTGTCCCTGATACTCGCACGCTATCTCAACTCTGGCGTACACTTTTGATTAGGAGAAAAACGAAGGAAAGGAAAGGAAATCAAAAAGAAAAATTTACAAATAATAAAGCATCTTATGATCCTACATACCGATTATACAGAGTCCTTTTCGAGCTCGAGTAAGCCCCACATTCATTTGATGTTCATCCGTTAAGAAACCCAAATGCTCCCGGAGCCAGTAAAGTGAAGGCTCAGGGTCGATTTCGTCCTTACCCAGGGAGCGCACCAAAGATAAGATGACGTAATCCCATTCACTTCCTGAGAATGAATTTTTGAAAGGTATGTGAATTGCACAAATCGCGCCACCGAGAACGCTATCATGTGAAAAGGAGATAGCGTTGCAGAAACCACAACAATAACAACTGCTACAACAACAACAAAAATAGCAACAACAAAAGCAATTAGAACAACAGCAACGACCAAAACAACAATAAACAACAAAAAGGTGAAACGAGGAAATTTTTGATATAGATTGGAAACCGCGACATACATTGAATAGGTGATTTGCTGCATGCTGTGCTACTTTAAATTTCCAGTCAAGTGGAAGCATTAATTAGGATATCTGCGATATTGCAATTAAGAGTTCATGTTAGGGACTGGTCAAAAAGTACAGGGGCGGGGGGAGGGGTGGGTCGGAGCATTTGAAAATGAGGTGGTTAGAAAACACATGGCCCACCCCTTCCATTTGGCACAAAACTGAGTGACTGAGTACCCCATCCCTAAGTAAAGGTTGAAAATCAGGTGACCCACCTCTATAAAACATGACATTTTTGGTGCATAATCCAACAAAATCGCATTTTGTGAATGAAATTGTGATCATATTTACGTTTTAGATTTATTTCTTAACAATAAAACAAAATCATCTAAAAATAACATTGTTTCCCTTTACTCTTGCAACTTTAAGTCATGTCTGCAAACTCTAAGAAAACTTGACCGTAAATCTTTCACACTAGGCCTCCAGCCTCGCCACGCGTGGAACAGTGATTTATCTAGAAAAAGTCTGTAGTGCTTTGGAACTGGAAGGAGTTACCTCTGTTGTCGATTGTGTCAATTGCGTGCCAAATCCTGTTAAAAAACAGAATGACCCACCCCCATGGGCAGCTGAAAATTGAACGATGCACCCCTTTCTGCTCCCCCACCACGCAATACCTTTTGACCAGTCCCTTATAACGAAATACAAAGAAACCATAAACAAGTGAATTTAATTTTACCCTGGCTTTTTACGATGGTTGTGACTGGGATATCTTTACACCTATAGACGTTTTTTAAAGACTCGTTGATCTTGCTTCGCTGTTCTCTGTACGGTGACAAGATCACGACTTTTGACGCATCCACGTTGTGTTTGTAGACTAAGGATGTCGCCACATGCATCTGACAAAGAATAAGTTAGTATTATTCATTAATATTGGTATACTCGTAAAGGTATTCTTGGTATACTAGCTTCACAATGGGTATAGATGATCTCGTGTACTATTGATCCCAGAAGTCTGTTGAAATGGATTTTTTCCAGGCCGTTACACGCTCAGTTGGTTTCATTCACGGATTCAAAGAAAATGATCAAGTGATGACGACTATCATGATCGTGTGATGAGTGAGTTTCCTGCCGTCGGGAAAGATGCTCCACAATTTGTTTACAAGTTTAATTTTTTGAGTTTCGCACTTTGTAGCAAGATAAAGTTTAAGATATGTTACAGAGAGGGTTCGACAGATGCAAAAGCCATCGCATGGATAAGATGGTTATGTTGGGAGAACACTCGAAAAGCTTGTAAATCACTCGCCTAAGGGCTCATGATTTACAAGCTTTTCGAGTGTTCGCCCAACATCCCGTGTGGGTTTATTGCGCCGTTAAACCTGTAGAAAGAGTGGTCTACTGCTTTAATAAACCGCAACAGTTAGGCTGTTATAAGTTAAAAAATGATCGGTTAATCTCATTCAATTTTTCACTTTTCTCCGTGTGATGCATGTTTGCTCAGCATATAATCTAAATGCAGACTTCCTGAGGGTTCTTACATCTTACTAGGCTTTCCTGTTAAACCAACACCCCAGCTACAAATTCAATGGCCTCATGTGGTGTGCTTGGGTTATCATCGGCTTGCCTTTAGATATTTCGATTATATTTGTTTTAAGATGTCCTAAGAAAGGCTAGTTCTTGAAATGCCGATTAACCGATAACAAGCCAAGATTATCAAGGTAAGATGGATAATCTCTTGCCGATAAGCACTCCATAACTATAGTCATAAGTTATATTTGGATAGCATCAAGCTTACCACTTTCCTGACTTCCTTCTCATTTGCTTTTGACTGTTCATTACTATGTGCCGTCTTGATGGAACTGCTTTCCTCTTCTCCCTCAACATGGCAAAATGCCATTGGAACATTTTTTCCTGAACTCCAAGCAGGCCAAAATGACTGCAAATGAGGATCTAAGGTCGGCACCGAACGATCTGTTTTTAACTTTCCTTCATAAAAGTATTTTGAGGGAAATTTGCAGATTTCTTCTTGCTGAGAAAAGCAAAAGATAATTTTTCATGTTATTGATCCTAAACGATAAATCTTAAAGTGTAACTCATATCGCTTCACGCTGCTAAATAATATATATTTCAGTCTCTCTAATGGACTGTATTGAACGGTACGTTCTTCTCTTACCATTCTGTACTGAAGCTCCAGCATCTTAGCTCGCTCAGAAAGCCTCTCAAACATAGACACACTCAAGCCAAGTGTCATTGCCAAGTTGTCCTGAATTATCGGCTGCAACTGCTTATGGTCACCAATCAAAACCACTTGTCGCGCTTTTGTACATGTAATTGGCACGAGGGATTCAAGTTCCATGCACATGCCACATTCATCCACAATGCATTGCTGGATATTGCCACAGGATCTGGTTAACCTGGGTTTTCCCGATGCTGCGCATGTGCAAAGGATGATCTGGACTCCAGACTCTTGAAGAACCCATTTTTCGGCCTGTCTGATGAGCTTGTGAAAGCGAAATGATAAAAAACGAAAAAAAAATCAGAAATAGATATTCACAAATTGGGCGAAGACTAACTTGCCCACTTTCTTCACCAGATAATTTGGAGTCCTAATGATTAATGAGCCTAATTCTCCGCCTTACCAATTAACTAAGTGTTAACGAGTAAATCAATCGATAACCAGTCCAACGCAAGACTCGTAAAAATATTGCTGGTTTTCACTGTCACGCCATCAGAAATAGAAATCGGAACTATTCAATAAATTAAGTCAAGACTCTGAGATATGATAGATCATTGGTATGTAAACAACGACAAAAAGATATAGGTCTGTGCGGTTTGTCGTTCGCACGTTTTTCGAAAAGGCTATGGAGACGCCATGTTTCTGCCCTTCGGAGGGATACAAACATGGCGGCCGTAAAGTCATTGAGTTTTGCTACTGAAACGAAAGGTTGTTATTCTAGAGCTCCGACGCATTGAAATCAAAACCGTCTCTTTGAAAGAATATGATTCTTACTTCGCGGTATTCTTCCACTTCTTTGTCACTGGTCCTGAGATCGTTCTTCCTATCTTCATCAAATTTGCGCTCATACTCTCCAAGCTCGGTGGCAAACGGACAGGGAGCCCTTCGAATGACATGATGAAGTGATACTGCTCTCAGTTCATTATCCTCATTTGAAATTTGGCTGTCATCGTCCGTTGAATTTCTTAGTGGTTGGCGTTTGTTGGGAATTGGAAACTCCGCTTGTTCTCTACGGTCGCCATACACACGGATGATCTTGAGGTCAGGAATTTTTAGCATGTATTCTTTAGGGGAAGAAATAGAACAAAAAAAAACCGAAATGAGTATTGAAAGTGCAACTAGGGTTTAAGGTATGGGGCTTTTAAAAACCGCTAAACCAAAACGCTATTGTTTTGGCTTACCTTGACGAGACCATGGGAAAATGTGTAAAATTGATACCCTATTTTTCAGGCAAAGAAAAGACAAACGCGGAATCACGAAACATACTGTGTTCAAGATTAAAAAATTTGAAAACCATATTCCATATAAGTATATCGTTTCTGAATGTAGACGAAACCATTCCTTGTGAACCAATAAACAACTGAAAAATCCGGTATAGTTGGGTATAAAATATATGGGTTAATTTAATTCATAGAATGGACATTTTACTGCTTGCTTCTTTCGCAAGCACGGATCTAGGATAAATGGTGACTGATTTGCGAAACAACGAGTACCTTCTAGAGGGGTTCAGGGCCATTCTCCCTAGGGAAATGCTCTGGATTATCTCATTTCTTAAGTCCCCTTTTTGTTTTGTTTTGGGGGGGTAATTCAGAAATATCCGACCGATTTCCGTAAAACGGTGAAAAACCGGTATGGATCCGCGCCTGTTTCTGACTCCTTCATTAAACCATGAAGGGGAATTCACACTGTTGAAGATGAGGTTTAGTGAAAAATTTTCAAGACAACTCAGTCCGATTTTTGTGATCAAGCAAACTTGTTATGCTGTGTGAGCCAAGGCTCGGTTTTTGGCTGCTATAATGTGGACAGTCCCTGCGAATTAATGCGTATCAGTGCGTATCCTTATCATTTCTGAGTTACTAGCAAAATAGGCGGGAATGGATTATCTAATTGTTATCAAGACTGTTACACTTACTAGCTACCACGTCCACTGACTTGTTGGAGGGTCCACAGTAAATTACTTGTGGAGGTCCTTTAGGCTGGTCGTCACTGTCTGGCAGAACGATATCGAAACCGTCCTGTCGCTGCTGCATATGTCGTTTCACAAACCAGTAGGCTATGTGGACACCTGTCACAGTCTTACCAGTACCTTCCAATGAACGAAAACATGTCATTTCAACTATGCCAAGGTGTTGCTGGCTCCTTAACTATCCTAGTGCTGATTATCTTTTAAAATATGTTGATTTTGATTATCTTTTAAAATAGTTGGATACAATAATGCGTAACTGATCAGTTCAAACAAACAACCAAACAACCAAACAACCAAACAAACAACAAACAACCGACAGAGCGACATAGAGATGGACCCACTGACCAACCGACAAACAGAAAAACAAACAAACAAACAAACAAACAAACAACAGTCAAAACAATAAAACAAGGTAAATGCCGCTCCAAGATAGACAGTCGAATTTGCAGAACTGCCTCTTCAAAAAACAAAAAGCAAACCAGCCTGTTCAATTTAAGAATTGGCGGTTATATTCAAAGCAAGCAATCAAACATACGGACCAGGGTATTTGTGCAAAGCATAATGTTTGGAATATATCATTATAATGAAGCGGCAAAATAAAGCTTTCAAATAAATAGCGAAACAGAGGAGCTTGAGGTGCGCGTTAACTTCATACTTACCTGGAGGACCCTGAACGAGGGTGAAAGGCTTCCCAAGCGCCTCTTTCACTGCTTCTTTCTGATACTGATTTAAGGGCTTAAACCCACAGTTGGGATGCTCCCTCACAATTGACAGGTGCGAAGACGGTGGGGGCCCGAAGTCTTCTAAAGAAGCAAGATAAAATGCTTTTTGGAGTTTAAATCACTGATTAGGGAAGGTGTCATTTGAGGCCATTCTTTAAGTGATCAAGAATCTTCACTTAATTGTAGATCACTTAAATGCATTCAAGTTTTGTTATGTGTGGGAGACGACTCGTCTGACTCTTAACTGGTTCACAACAGTTTCTAGCTCTTTCCATCAGTGATACATCGATGGATCAATACTACCACTCTTTATTAAATCCATTTTGAAATCACTGGTTATCTTTGCAATCTGATTGGCTCTCAGTGGTGCGATTTATTCACGAATCGCACTATTTTTTGCTC